CACAGGCTTCAACACTTCTACCATGCCTAGGTCTCCATTACATCAAACAAATGGGTCCTTGTCATCAGAAGGGGTTTTGCTATAGTGTATTAGGAGACTCCTAAAGTTTAGATGGGAAGTACGATGATATTACACACAAAGGATGGGCTAGGTTACTACTCTAAAGTACTGTGACTTTTATCCTTAGTTGTTCTTTCCAGATTGAGCATTGGACAAAAAGTATTTCCAAGTTTTAGGAGCAGCCCAGGATACTGAATTTCAAAAGATGATGAAGAGGTCGTGCTGAGTGTAGAGTTTGCTGAGTGGAATTTTGAATTCTGCCATGCATAAGTAAAACACAACTTCCATCCAGGAAAATGAAATTGAATTTGTTTTGTGGCTTTACAAGTCATTCCCCTTCAACTTCAGCTTTCCTGCTATGAAATGACAGTACAGAGAATTTACTATTGCTATCTATTAATGCTGAGCACTTGTAGAAAGCAAAATATTAGGATTACTCTGGTCATACTAAATTGGTAGTTATAATGTGGAAAAAATGGTCGTTGCAAAATATTTCAAAGCTCACTTTTTATGTTTGAAATATTAATTGTCTCATTTATATTGTAATTATCCACATCACTATACCTTTGTGAAATATACTCAGAATAATTTCCATCTTCTCCCTTTACCAAATGGAAATTAGATTTATAAGTGCTTTGGTACATTCCGAGAACTGTTCACATGTCAAATTCTGTCTTGTTTTTCCATGGCTAGGAGCCAAAGAACTGCATAATTAATTCCACATGCCTAAGAAAACTTTGGTCTTGTGCTTTTCTCGCAGCAATCCCATATGCCACTAACAGTAAAAATTGAAGAAACTTTCAAATGCAGATTTGCACATGGCATGGAGACCTGCTCTTAACAGAAAATAGCCAAGCTCATACTGGGTGTGCCTAAAAAAGTCCCTTGCATCCCAACCTACATTGTTGCTCAACAGAAACAATTGAAATAGCTTGACTTAATTTATATGCTATTACACTTTTCCTAAGTGGTGAAATTGCTATATTTTAATCAGTCATTTAGTTCATTCCAACCTTCAGGAGAAATCTAATAGTTTCTATGGTGTTGTGGAATTTTGTAAAATAATGCAAATACAGAAAAGGAAAAACAATTCGGAAAGGAAATTCTCATAAGATAGAGTTCTTACTTAGATGATCCCTCATTGTCTGAGGATGATGGCCTTCCAAGTGTGAATTCTCATTAGATAGAGTACCATGCAGAGCATACATATAAATATGTGATGCTGGCTAATATCTAGAAAGACGATTTTCAAATTTCCATCTGTAGATATGCATTCATGAGTAAGATTAACTGACCATTGTATAGTGAATATCTTTTCAACAATGCAGTATAACTCGTTTCATTTAGCTATGCAGACCTTTAATCATATTCCAAATAGACTTGATTATAGGTTTCTGTAATTATTAATTCTAATAATATTTCATATTCAGTAATATAAACTTTTAAATTGCCAGTTTACAGTTAAGGATTTTTTTTTTACAAAATAGAATGGAAAAGCTAAACATCAACCTTTACCTTACACCCTAAAAATACCAACTTCAAGACTTTGATCTAACTCTCTGTCCCATATAAATCCATTCTCATGTATCTCAAGTGTAAAAGTAATTTTTAGAAACTGCCTTTTAGTTCCTTTTTTGTTCTACCCATGACTAGAATAACTTGGTAATTTGTAGACACTAAAATTAAAAATCAAATGATAGTGTCATGTTATGATAAACATCCTTGGTGACTGAATATCACTCAGCCAAGAATGACATCTTTGTAGTCATGATCTGTTTTACTTTGTGTGTCAGAAGTGGCTGTAGGAGCAATCCCAGCAGGTCAACTTAGTATCCAGGCTGGTGTGGAAGGAGATCCCACCAGCCTTTTCATGGCCACTTTGCATTATATTTGACAGCAAATCCTTATTTTGTAATGCACACCTTCAAAATAGAGGTGTGCATTACATTCAACGATGCTTTATACTCGAATAAATGCTGGTAGTATATAGGTGTGACTTAAGATATTTCTATACATATAAAACAATCAAATATGAAACAACAGTTATTTTAAAGTAACAATATAATAAACTAAGATTGAAAAAACAACTTCTAAGTGCAACATTACATTTGCCAGAAGTGTTTCTTCAAATTTCTGCAAGGTTTTGAAAATCAAAACTTGCATGACTGAATGGACAGCCACAAAATGAAACTTAATTCCAATAATGTGTGATGCTGAATTGAAGAGGTCACCAAAATGTACAAATATGAATTTTACGGACTGCTGAAAAAGCCCTCTCTGGATCCTCTGAAACTTAATAATTACAGACCAGTGTCTAATCTCCCTTTTTTGGACAAGGTGATAGAAAAGGCACTTGCCCTCCAACTCCAGGTGGTCTTGGATGACATACACTTCCTTGATTCATTTCAAACAGGCTTCAGAGCAGGATATGGAGTTGAAACTGCTATGTCACTTTGGATGATCTCTGTTTCAACGCCGACAGGGGGAGTGTGTCCCTGTTGGTGTTCCTAGACATCTTAGCGGCCTTTGATACCATTGACCATGGTTTCCTTCTGGAACGCCTGAAGGGGCTGGGAATCAGAAGCACTGTGCTGCAGTGGTTCTGGTCGTCCCTTTCAGGCAGGTTCCAGAAGGTGGCACTTGGGGATAGCTGCTCCTCAAAAAAGAAGTTGTTATGTGATGTCCCACAAGGTGTCATTCTGTTCCAATGCTCTTAATATTTACATGGGAGAAATCATCTGTAGGCATGAGGCGGGGTGTTATCAGTATACAGTTAACACCCAAATACATTTCTCCATGCCATCAAAAACAGCTCTAGCTTAGGATAGCATGTCTCCTTTGAATGAATGTCTGGAGGAGGTAATGGGCTAGAAGAGGAAAAACAAATTGAAACTGAATCCAGACAAAACAGGTGTTTGCCATCAAGGGTCCTAATCTGGGGATGAAGGTGTGTCAACCAGTTCTGGATGTGGTTATACTCCCTCTGAAAGACTGTTAGCAGCTTGGGAATGCTCCTGATCCGTCCCTTCAAGTGTCAGCTCAGGTAGATGTGACAGTCAGGAGTGCTTACTATCAGCTTTGTCTGATACGCCAGCTGCACCCCTTCCTAGATTTGGAGGACCTGAAGATGGTCGATCATGCACGTGCTGGTAACCTCAAGGCTGGAGTTCTGCAGTACGCTTTACATTAGGCTACCTTTGTACCATGTTCGGAAACTCCAGTTGGTTCAAAATACAGCAGCCAAACTGGTTATAGGATTTTTGAGGAGTGAGCATATTACACCTATCCTAAAATCACTGGCTGCCAATTAGTTTCCAGGCAAAGTACATGGTGTTGGTTTAGACATTTAAAGCCCTATGTGGTTTCGGTCCAGGTTACCTACAGGATCATCTTCTCCCATACAATCTGCCCTGCACACCGAGGTCCTCTGCAGGGCATCTGCTCCAGCCTTCCAGAACCCAACTGGTGACCACCACTCAGAAGACCTTTTCATCGACTGCCCCAAGACTGTGGAATGACCTTCCAGAAGAAAACCAACAGCTAAATGAGCCGTCAGAATTTTAAAACCATCTAAAGATGGTAGTAAAGAGGGAGTATAACTTCTGGCAGGCTTGCCCAGCCAATTTTTAAGCATGAACTTTAAACGTGTGTCCTTTCTTTAATCTGTTTTGTGTATTTTAATACGTATTTTATATAAATACATTTTAATACATCTCTTTTACATAAATACATTTTATTATGTGTATTTGTGGTATTTTTACAATGTTTATGTGTTTTAATTATTCTGTAACCCGCCTTGAGCCACAAAGAGGCAGTTAAGAACAAAAATTATTATTATTTGAAACACAACAAGATGAGTCCACAGAAGACACTCTGCTGGCTGTTGAATTGGATCACACGTCGGACACTTCCCAAGTGTCTAGGACTGTGTGATGTATCTGCGAATAATGTGTGGCCTGCAGCTGGCAGATGGTAATTTTGTCAGCGCCGATTGTGTTTAAGTGCAGGCCAAGGTCTTTAGGCACTGCACCCAGTGTGCCGATCACCACTGGGACCACATTTACTGGCTTGTGCCAGAGTCTTTCCAGTTCGATCTTTAAATCCTCATATCCTGTCAGTTTTTCCAGTTGTTTCTCTGCAATCGACGACCCATACTTAGTTTTTTAACACATTTGTGAGGTCAGGACTATTGTGCTCCTGAACTCTGTCTGAATTATTATTATTATTATTATTATTATTATTATTATTATTATTAATTTGAAACACAAGATGAGTTCACAGCAGACAATATCACTCTGCCGGCTGTTGTATTGGATTGCACGTCGGACACTTCCCAAGTGTCTAGGACTGTGTGATACATCGTATTATTATTATTATCATTATTATTATTTGTATTTTCTGTAGGTACAAGAGTATGTTCTATCTGGCAGCTCACTAGGGATTTGAAAGACTGATGCATGCTGAAAACCTTAAACAACAAGCATTGATAACATTGTGGTTTAGCTTAACTTAATTGCATCTCATGATGAATGAAAACAAAAAAAGTAAATAGTTGGAAATCCTTGGCATCAGTCATTGTTTAATGGAGGTCTCTCAACTGGCTTAAAGATTTGTTTTACCTATTATTTAAAGAATGTGAAAAAGCAGGGGGGAAGTTTTCAGGATCTCTTTCATGGACATACCCACTTTAAAGTTTAATGTTTATGTAACTTCCATTCCTGTTTTCAAACAGGGACTATCAAAATTATGGAAGTATTTTATTGTTATTGTTGTTGAGTTGTTGTTGTGTATGTTTATTTATATCCTGCTTTTTCTCTCCACAAAGAGACTCAAAGCAACTATTGTATATTGTGGATTAAGTAGCCTGTGCCATACTTGGTTGCGTTGTACTGCCTTAGCATTCTGTGCAGTTTTCCAGCTGTCCTGTGCAAAGGAAGGAAAGAGCCAAGCTCTCCCATTTAAAACACAGCATCTGAACTGCTTTTCATTTACTTTGCTCCCCTTTGAGATGCCAGAAGTGATTTCCTCTTGAAGTTGACTTCCTTTCTGGAAATGATTTTGTCTCCAACCATGCTGGGGCTCCCTGCGCCTGAGCTTTGACTACCGTGCTCTTGTTTTATTTCCTCGATTTGCTGCCCCGCCAGAGCAGACCTCTTGATTGTAAGTAATCATCACGCTGAAGTTTTGCTGTAACTTTTTAAAGAGTTCTTTTCTCCGCATCATTATCAGTCCGCCAAGAGGGACAGACAAAGCACTCATTGGTGCCCTCTCTGCAACAGAACACTGCTAGGGGGTGGCTGTAAATTGACGTGGCATGGAAAATCTCTGCTAAGTTTGTAGCACTTCGTATGTTCCCTCTGAGAGCAGCCGTGCTCTGAGTTGGTTGCCTCTTGTTACAGATCTGATGCCTCTGCATGGATAGAAATCCCCTCTTTTTTCTCACTCGGGAGCTGGATGTTCTTTTCACTTTGGATTTATGGCTAAGACTAAACAACATCTAAAACAAATTCCTTACTTTTCCTCTCTCTCCAATCAGAGAAACAGATTTTTGGGCATATTCCCATTTCTTCCACCGCCTTCTCCTGCACATCATACACCCATCGACTCCTGTCAGCTTTGGCCATGGGGTGCGGGCTCAGAAAACTAGAAGACCCTGATGATAGCAGCCCTGGAAAAATATTTTCAACATTGAAGAGACCACAAGTGGAAACAAAAGCAGACTCTGCTTATGAGTACGTACTACTAGATTTTACATTAGAAGGTATGTATGATCTCTTTCAAGTTTTTGTATGTTTAAGGCAGGGGAAGCCACCTATTTCTTATGGTTAGATAAGTACAAGTATAATATAACACAAATGGTTGGGTTAACAGTTTAGGAATAATTGCTAATCATGCCCATGAGTGCCAGAATGTTATGCGTATAATAAGCATGTATAACATAGTACACTGAAGTCTCTGTTCAGAAGTAGATTCTTTTTTCAAACTTCGATGGACTGAAAAGTCACACTGCAAACAGTTCTGCTATAGTGCAGAAGTCAGTGGAAAATACCTTTCAGTATATTCCTCGTTTTATACTTTAATAGGATCATGAAAGCAACGTATAACTATATGCAGCCAGAGCTAGACAGTGCTGTGTGGGGGCTGCTTCCTTCTCTTGTAGGGTGTCCTGTTTCTAACCAACTGACTCCCTGTCCCAGAAAGTTGAAAACATAAACAACCAAACCCAGATGGCTTCCTGCTGAGAACAGGAGGCTCCATTCTATAGCAGTTGCTTGAGGGATCCACATATTTTTGTACAGAATAGTTTTTTGTAACACTCAAGTTCTCTCAGTGGCTGTATGTTCTCTCATACCAGAAGCAACTTGCAGTTTCTCAAGGCGCTCCTGACATGAAAAAAGTGGCTGTATAACAGCTCTTTGGGTTAGCTCTTAGTAGAGCACTAACTCCCGACCTGTCTGTGTTTGCAAAGGCCAGCCTGCATATTACAACATGTCTTTGTCCATATTGTAGACATGTACCTTTAATGACAGGAGCACCCGGTGGCGCAGTGGGTTAAAGCCCTGTGCCGGCAGGACTGAAGACCGACAGGTCGCAGGTTCAAATCCGGGGAGAGGCGGATGAGCTCCCTCTATCAGCTCCAGCTCCTCATGCGGACATGAGAAAAGCCTCCCACAAGGATGATAAAAACATCAATTCATCCAGGCATCCCCTGGGCAACGTCCTTGCAGACGGCCAATTCTCTCACACCAGAAGTGACTTACAGTTTCTCAAGTCGCTCTTGACACGACAAAAAAAAAAAACAACTATAATGACTATCTATCTATCTATCTATCTATCTATCTATCTATCTATCTATGAGGCACATCTATATAAATAAAAATATAATGTTCATTTGTGGGATTAACATAACTCAAAAACCACTGGATGAATTGACACTAAATTTGGACGCAGCACACTTATCAAGCCAAAGAATGACCATCACTCATAAAAAACTGAAAAACACAGCGGAAGGGACTTAATAGCCAAAGAAGCAAAAGACGCTACAGCGCATGCACAAAAATGATTCCCCTTGGCAAACAACACACACAATAGCATATCCACACTCTCTTCCAGGCTACATCTCCCAGCATCCCCTAGACCAGGCCTTTTAGGGGAGGAGGATGATTCAAATGCACTGCTTCCAAGCTGCAAGATTTCTTCTCCTTGGATTTCTTTGAGAGCCTCCCAATCCCTGCATATTTCCAATTCCGTATTCCTGGACTGCAACTCCCAGCAATCCTCCAGATAGATAAGGTAGATAGATTAGATAGAGATAGATAGATAGATAGATAGATAGATAGATAGATAGATAGATAGATAGATAGATAGATAGATCAGGAGGACTGCTGAGAGTTGCAGGCCAAGAATAGGTAGAGAAGGAAGAAAGGTTGAGAAAGATGAAGGAAAAGAAAAGGGAGGGGAGGAAGGGAAGAGGAAGAGAAGGAAGGGAGAAGGAAATAAAAAGGGAAGGAAGGAAGGAGGGGAGGAAGGAGAGAAAGAAAGAAGAGAAAGAGGGAGGGGAGGTTGGCCACAGCAACATGTGGTGGGTACAGCTATTGGTATTATATTTTAGTTCAGTAGCTTCATTTTGCTCTGTCTAGGGGTGGAAATGTCTCTGAGTGGAAAAGCAGATGCTAGCAACAATATATTATGGGTGTCATGATAATTGGCTGATGCAAACATAAATCATAGTAGTCTGCAACTTTATATTTTGCACTTCATTTGAAACACACTCTCTTATGCTGAGCTGTGTGTAGTAGGTAGCATTTTAAGTTGTATAAACAGAGGTTTCTTAAAGTACTTCAATGGAGATCATTTATTGTACAAAAAATATTATCCATTAAAGGAGATGCTTAGCAGCTCTTTTCTAGAGGTGACAGGAGACTTAATGTTTGCAGTGTGCCAATAAGATCTTATTTTTAAATCATGGAAGTTTGGGTCCAGAGGATTATTTCTGTTTGCGATAGGGACCCTCATGAATTGGAAGCACCTGCAGGAGGAAATAGGGAGGCCATCAGACCTGGCATCTACATCCAATCTGGTGGGACTAATATCAGGATGCCAGGGTGTCCCTTGGGGCTATTGCCAGTCACAATTCTTTCTCTTCCTACTTATTTTTACTAAGGCTGTGAAGGAAAACAAAGCCTTGAGTGAGGCCCCTTCTACATTGCCCTATAACATCCAGATTATCTGCTTTGAACTGAATTATATGGTAGTGCACACTCATACAATCCAGTTCAAAATCAATTAATGTAGACTATTTGTTTTGATAATCTGGATTATATGGCAGTGTAGAAGGGGTCTACATTTGTAGCTGTCCACTTTTCCTCCCTCAATAGCATTTCTGAGCCCTTCCCTGTTAGTTTATTTATTTCAATTTATTTCGAATATTTATATCCAGACCTTCTCGGGGGGGGGGGGGGGGGGGGGGGGGGCCTCACATTGGCATTAGCACAGACTGAATTTCTGGATTTTTTTTTGTCGTGTCAGGAGCGACTTGAGAAACTGCAAGTCATTTCTGGTGTGAGAGAATTGGCCGTCTGCAAGGACGTTGCCCAGGGGACGCCCGGATGATTTGATGTTTTTATCATCCTTGTGGGAGGCTTCTCTCATGTCCCCGCATGAGGAGCTGGAGCTGATAGAGGGAGCTCATCCGCCTCTCCCCGGATTCGAACCTGCAACCTGTTGGTCTTCAGTCCTGCCGGCACAAGGGTTTAACCCACTGCACCACCGGGGGCTCCAACTATTAGATGACATCAACAAAACAAACAAGAGCAATATAAACACAAACATTGGTTAAAACATTAAATTATAAAATACCTAATAAATAATAATAATAATAATAATAATAATAATAATAATAAAAATACCTGTAATAAAACATTACAACCACATCCAAATCCAACTCAGTGTCCATAGCCCCAGTCCAAGGCCTGTCCATTATCAATTCTCATGAGTCATTGCTATTATTACTGTTCCTGTTCCACAGACAGTTCAAAAACATGCAAAATGTGAGTAGATCAATAAGTACCGCTTCTGTGGGAGGGTAATGGCGCTCCATGCCGGCCACATGTCGTTGGAGATGTCTACGAACAACGCCAGCTCTTTGGCTTATAAATGGAGATGAGCACCACTCTCCAGGGTTGGACATGACTAGACTTAATGTGAGGTGAAACCTTTACCTTTACTATAAGGTAAAGATAAAGGTTTTCCCCTGACATTAAGTCCAGTCGTGTCTGACTCTGGGGGTTGGTGCTCATCTCCATTTCTAAGCCGAAGAACCAGCACTGTCCACAGACACCTCCAAGGTCATATGGCTGGCATGACTGCATGGAGTGCCGTTACCTTCCCGCCGGAGCAGTACCTATTGATCTACTCACATTTGCATGTTTTCGAACTGCTAGGTTGGCAGAAGCTGGGGCTGACAGCAGGAGCTCACGCCGCTCCCCGGATTTGAACCTGCGACCTTTTGGTTAACAAGTTCAGCAGCTCAGTGGTTTAACCCACTGTGGTACCAGGGGCTCCTTTACTATACTTACGCCCAATTACCACTACAATAATAACTTCTATTTCAACTTTTGCAGTTTTCCTTGCACCTGTTCCTAATGACAGTCCTCAATATTGCTGTGTAGTTGTGCCAGTGTAACTGAGAGAAGAGCATCCACAGCATGAAGTTATTTTAAGTCATTTGTCATTAGCAGAGAGATACAATGAATTTCTGCAATGCAGCTTGAACACCAGAAATGGAATACAGTAAGCAAAGTAATCCTCTGCATCTCAAGTTATATTTTTGTGTAACTTAATCCCTCAGGCTCCTCAAATCCAGATGTTATCAAGATCAGCTCCGTTTTGGATATTGCCAAAAAGGTGGAAGAGTATTACACTAGAGGCTTTGTGGTCGGGGCAATTCACCCTGTCTTACTGTCAGTTGGACGAAGGAGACGTTTTCCAGCAAGTCATATGTATCGAGTTGTAATGTCACGTCTCAAACTCAGGTATGTGCTACTAAGATAAATCTTTATGTAAATTTATGTATATGATTGACAAAATGGAAACAGTTTCTTATTCTGTACGGTCCTTGAGAAAATCAGAAAACCTGTGACATCCAGACTTGCTGCTTTCAAAGCCCGCAAGATGGCCGCTGGCGGGACGTACACCAGAAATTTCAGTGTTTTAAATTTAAATGCGCAGGTGCGAATATGCGCATTGTTTAATGTATTGTCGAAGGCTTTCATGGCCGGAATCACTGGGTTGTTGTAGATTTTTCTGGGCTATATGGCCATGTTCTAGAGGCATTTTCTCCAGACGTTTCGCCTGCATCTATGGCAAGCATTCTCAGAGGTAGTGAGGTCTGTTGGAACTAGGAAAAGGGTTTATATATCTGTGGAATGACCAGGGTGGGACAAAGGACTCTTGTCTGCTGGAGCCAGGCGTGAATGTTTCAACTGACCACCTTGATTAGCATTAGCATGCGCATTGTTTGTACAAGTTTCATTCCTGGGTCATACATATCTGTTGCTTTTATCCTGAAAAAATGGAGAAAGTTGATTACATGGCAAAAACTTTGTTTGTATGTCAGAAACATGTGGAGGATGAAGTTTCTTTTGCCATGATAAAGTTTTTGCCCTCTAGTCAACTACTGATGTGTTTTTAGGATGTAAACAGTAGAAACTGGCATGTATAACCCGGGAACAAACCAACATAAAAAATCATATGAGTGTAGGGACATACAGAGGTTTGAATGTCCGCATTTTCCGACCAGAACCAGGATATTCCTGCAACTGAAAATCTTGCATTTTTAGCGCTTTGTGGCAATTTCTCCCATATTTTCAGGAACATCCTGCCATTTTGAACTGGGAGCTCCTGAGATAAAGGTACTATGTGGATGGGCCCATAGTGAAGGTGTGAGTATACTCTTGAGAGTTGCTACAATCTCCCCAGTTGTTCCTTTGGGATTGGTTAGTTTTTTAAATAGCTTTATGCTATACTTCTAAAGCAGTTCAGGGGCAAGGAAGTCCATTTGGGCATGGTGAAGGAATTCACCTATGCAAAATTAGCTGCATTCCAAGACCATAATAAGCTATAGTTTAGACTTATTACATAAATGAGGCTGAAGGGAGCCTTAGGTTTGCATATTCCTTTCCCCTGATGCAGTTTCAAGAGAGATCAGAAGATTTCATATCCCTTCTTAACTTACTGGAATTTAGTATCATGTCTGAAATCAAACAAACTATCATATTATTGTCGAAGGCTTTCATGGCTGGACTCACTGGGTTGTTGTAGGTTTTTTCGGGATATATGGCCTACAACAACCCAAACTATCATTTGTTTTCAGCATGTTTTACTAATGAAGCCAAAACAAGGTAGAACTTTACTTTATAAAGCATGCTTGTTTTAATAAACCATTGTTAAATTCTGGGTTGCTGTGGGTTTTCTGGACTGTATGACCATATTCCAGAAGCATTCTCTCCTGACGTTTCGGCCACATCTGTGGCAGGCATCCACAGAGGTTGTGAGGTATATTGAAAACTGAGCAATGGAGTTTTATATATCTGTGGAAGGTCCAGGGTGGGAGAAACAACTATTGTCTGTTTGAGGCAAGTATGAATATTGCAATTAATTATCTTGATTAGCATTGCAAAGCCTTGCAGCTTCAAGACCTGGCTGATTCCTTCTTGAGGGAATCCTTTGTTGGGCAGTGTTAGCTGGCCCTGATTGTTTCATGTCTGGAATTCTCCTGTTTTCAGAGTGTTGTTCTTTATTTACTGTTCTCATTTTAGGGTTTTTTTAAATACTGGTAGCCAGATTTTGTTCATTTTCATGGTTTCCTCCTTTCTGTTGAAATTGTCCACATACTTGTGGATTTCAATGGCTTCTCTGTGTAGTCTGACATGGTGGTTGTGAGAGTGGTCCATTTCTGTGTTCTCAAATAATACGCTGTGTCCAGGTTGGTTCATCAAGTGTTCTACTATTGTTAAATTCGCCACTGTTCAGTGCCTGGGCACAACACTGAACAGTGGTTAATAGAACAGGAGCCACACAACTTACCATGCAGGGAATTTGTGGGTCCAGCCAGAGCGCATCACTCTGTCTCGTTGGCCATGGGGAGCATACAGAGCATCCAGGGTCCATTTTGCCCTGCACAACCCTGGGAGAAAGTGGGAATTGCCAGTGAATGCGCTTGACTATCCTTCCAGCTCATGGGCTGGTGGACCCAACCAGAGTGGCCTGAACCAGAGCTTCTTAAACTTCTCCACTCGGGATCAAGAAATGTTTATGTGACCCCCCCCCCCCCCCCCCCCCCCATGTATATATGTATATAAAATGGGTATAAAAATCAAACATTTACTGTGATAAAAATCAGCATTGGCAAGGCTTGCTAATCAGGCTGATTCTTCTTTTTATGAAGTACGTCTGAAGTATCTTCAGCAGAGGCTGCTGTAAACACTGCACAATAAAGTCATGTAAATGCCTGTAATAACCACTAGGTGATACTCAGATATATATTTTTTTTGTGACCCCAGCTTTGAGCTAAGGGAACCACATTTGGGGTTGTGACAGTTTAAGGAGCCCTGGCCTAGATAACAAGCATAATTTTAATCAGATGGAAAGAGATACTTTCTCCAGCCCAGCAGTTGTTCACAAGCCCAAGTTCCTCCACATACAACAGCACAATTATTTTTATTGTTAAGTCATTATGCAACTATTTTACATAATACTAACATGTTACATAATTTAAGAATCTCCATTTCGAAGACTCACCGTCTCTTAACTACTTCATGTTAGAAAGCAAATAAGCTGTCACCCAACTTAATATGGCTTGCCTAGGAAAACCCTATGAAATTCATGTAATCACCATAAGTTCAACAGACAACTTGAAGGCACATAAATACATACACACAATTCCATTAAGCCTGAACTTTTAATCATGCAAAAAATCTTTCTTAGAGACATATTGGAGCCTGAACATTATTGATATGTCTGTGTTTGCGTTGCCTGGGAAATATTTCATATTCAGATCAAGTATAAATATATTATCTTAATCAGTAATTCAGCTCTATTCCACGTACCATATCTGAGGAATTTATAATCCTGACTCACTGGAGTGATAGTCCAAAAAGAGCGTTGCCAAAATTTAATTCATAACTTTTTGGAATGGAGGAAAATGTGTGTGGCATTTTGTACAGCAGACTGCAACAAAGGCTGCTTTCTTTCTGTGTTCCAGCCAGAAGCATCCACAGAGCAGAGGACAAAGATACCCCAGGCTTGTGATTGAGGAGTGTCCTTTAACATATGAAAAACTAACAAATGAAGCAGTAAAAGGATTGTTAGAAAAGGTATGGCAGTCTTCAGAATCCCTTCTTGAACCTCCTTTCCTTTTTGGCCTTTCTTTCAGGGTTTTCATTTTAATAATACAGGTCTCTGAAAAAAAATATGGTGTTTCAGAATAGAGTTCTTTGGGTTTTGCTGATAGTTACCTCCTGGTCCATTAATTCCATTTTATGTGGGGAAGCGATTTGTACCAATATTTTCAAACTGCACAATGACGTTTCCAAAGGTTTTGTTTAAAACCAGAAGTGGTATTTGAAGGACAAGTTTTCACTTCTCGTTTTTGTTTTTCTTTTGAGTTACAGTATTATAATGCAAAGGGCCATTTCCCCAGTGTACTATGTTAATATAAATATTTATTTTTAAAAAATTAAACAGAGATACAAGAAGTTTTACTGTCTCAAAAAATTAAAAACTAATTGAGATGCAAAACATGTTGTACATAGTGACAAATACATTGTTTGAGTATTTAAATGACTGCTACAAATTCCCACAACCCCCAGACAGTTCACCCCATCTGGGGAAAACCATACTTCCCTGAATGGGCCAATGTTCCATTTTACAGTTTTACTTTTTTTAACTTGAGGGAACTAAATGTCATGGTTTGAAAAATAAAAGAAGGGCTATTTTGTAATTTCCTCCCATAAGTTTTTATGATTTCATTCCTTGTCTGAGCATTGCCTGTAAACTATTAAGCATTGACTGTTAACGATTGAGAGTCTGACTTCTGAATGCTACCTCACGAAGGTCTAAAATTGGTTGTATTGACTTAAAGCAGAGCGCGGATGAGTAAGATGACTGTCCATGTGCCAGTGCCCCCCCCCCACATACACACATACACATCCCAAACACATTCCACTATAGAGGGCCAAAACTTAGTGACGCACAGTATATAGAAGGTAGAGAGGGAAACATTTCCTGATTCCGAAAAAAGGCTACTTGCATTGAAGAAAGGCACAAATGGAGATGGAGCATGTGCCTTGTTTTAGACCGAATTGTGCTTCCCAGAGTGTTCTGTGAGTAAAATTATCCCTGTGCAGTCCCCACTCGTTTTGTTTTAGAGCAATAACATAGGACTTTTAATGGCTGCTATGCTGCCAAAATGTGAGGGCTTCAAATCCACAGGGTGTTGCTTGCAGCTCATGTAACAGAGTTACACGATAGCAGCAGCTGTAGAAATTATTCTCACATCAATGTGGTTTGCCCTCCAGTAGCACACTAGTTCCCACCCAGGTGAATTGTGGAAATCAAAAATCAGAAGCTGCTCTCATTGTTAAAAAAAAAACCGAATTACACTAGCCACCGTGCATTTTGGTACCTCAAATGTTAGACCTATTTCTGGATATAGTTGACCTGCTGATTCCAAAAATGGCACCAGTTTTTCCCTATCGGCATTAGTTTTTGAGATACAGAACATATGCCATCTACCGATCGCCATCTGCTCGCCCATAGAAAATCATGATAACCATGTTTAAGAAAGCAGAGCTGATGAGGTCTATCCAATGCCATTTTATGAATCAATGCCCCAGATAACCCACTAAGAGCCTAAAAACGATCACATGGAGGCCAGCAAGCACCAGTTCGCCTATACTTTTATGATGGAGCTTGCTGCCCTCCATCCCACAATGTAGAACAGCTTCCAGTGGGGCTCCATCATAAAAGTATAGGTGAACCAGCGCATGTTTCCACCCATGTTGAATAGGGGGAAGCCAGGCATCCAACGCTTCCCCCGTGGGATGCAGACGGGTGAGTTGGATGATACAGGCCATGGGGTGATGGGTTCCTCAAGCTCCCCGATGGGCATTGCCGGATTCACCACAATATGTGGCGATTCTGGCAGCCCATCTGATGAGGTTGTAAGACACCAAGGGAGCTGCACAATTTACTCCATGGTTGGTTTGTGGGTCAAGGGAGCAGCAGAGCCAGGTGATCCATCACCAACTTTTCTCCCCAGCTCCTTTTACCCTAGGGCCTGCTCAACTCAAGGTGGGCATGGGAAAGAAGTGGGAACCATTAGCCAATAGGTTTAAACTTAAATAGGAGTCCAATGGCTGGCTGCCTCTCAGGATGCAGCTTCCACTTGGGTGAGATGGGGATTTAAGGGCCTGCTCTAGTGTAGCACCCAATTACCCATCAACCCTTCAGCTGGACAGAACTATCAATTTCATCACCTTACCTATATGGAATTTGCCATGCACGGTTCATATGATGTTCCTACTCTATTTGTGCCACGGAGTCCTGGCAGAAGTAGTTTGACGTTACGGGATGGGAGCCAGAGGGCTCTGTGGTGCAAGTACAGTAGGACTGTCATACAATGGGCAGTTTAACCTGTCTGATAAGGTCCTGTGTGTGTGGTTTTCCATGCAGGTGTTGTTGGTTTTTTTTGTTTTTGTTTTTTTGCAGCTACATCATTTTTTACTGTTTTGTCATAACTTTTGGGAACAATGAGCATGGTTCCAGGATCCAAGAAATCTATTACTAAGATGTCTTTGGAATTATATTAGAAGGTGTCCCCTTAGGGGACTTGGATGTGTGCTGAATTTTAAAAAGGCCCATTTCAGGGCTAATGTATTTTGACATTCCCCCTTCACACACACACACACACACATATAAATGACAGGAAGAACATGCAGGGGGCAAGTAATAAAATGTCATTAAGAAAAAGATTGTATAAAAGGATAAGATGCACTCAAAAGAATTGTAAACGTATGCATTATGTATGTATGCATTATGTATGTTATACCAATATTCAAGAACATAGACATGAGATGCTTATGTATATATGCTCGAGATGAAATAAAATGTAAGTAATACATTGAATATATATATATATGTATATATGTATGCATATGTACATTAAAAAACCAAACAACATAAAAAATAAAATTAAATATTTAAATAATGGTTTTCGCCCCTCAACATCAAAGGGCCGAACTTTTGAGGTCATTCTGAAAATCACTCCTGAATATATTCAAAACTGCAGCATCCCATTCTCAATACCTTTCATCACCTGTAGTTTTAAAAATACTAGCTCAAAACCACAGCATCTATAAAAGTCCTATTCCAATGTATAGAGGATCAAAGTGCCACTTCATAGAAAATATATTCTGTATGAAAGGTTTATATTGGCATATGAAAACTTTCATGTGTCAGAGCTTGGAAAGGGGGCTTTATTTTAGTATAAATTGAAGTTCTTGTCCAAAAAAAATCCTTTTTCATATCCATCAAATGTTTCTTTTGTTGGCTTTGGAAAGTCACAGTAGGCACAACTTGTAGTGCTTGCCCTCATGATGAAATAGACATATATTATTTTCCCTTATCACTCACCTAACTTTATCATAACAGCAGCATATACAAAATTGCTGTACAGTATTGTTAATTAATGAGCTCCATGTTTAATTTGTCTTTGCACAAAATACAGATCAATGATGCTGCCAAAAGAGGGATGAAATTCGTTGGATTTATAACACAGCCTTGCCCCCCATCTAAAATCTGCAATGGCACAGACATGGAGGGAAATGCAGAGTCTGATTCGGAGCTTTGTAGAAGGAGCAAAGAACAAAGGAGACACAATTCAGATGAAAATGTTAAGACATCAAATGAGGGGACCTTGAGTGGCCAGTCTTCTGAGAGTGGAACAGAGGAAGAAATTCACCCAGAAGGTGGGCCGTTACAAGACACTGATTTTCAGGACAGAAGAGAAGGCAGTCCAGGCCCAACGAAATTAAGGAAAGAAGGTATTTAAACACATTGCCTATATATTCTACATCAGGGGTCCTCAAACTTTTCAAGCAGAGGGTTGGTTCACTGTCCCCCAGACTGTTGGGCGGGGAGCAGACTATAGTTTTTTAAAAATATGATTGAATTCCTATGCACACTGCACATATATTATTTGTAGTACAAAAAAAACAGTGAAAGAACAATACAATATTGAAAATGAGGAATAATTTTAACCAATGTAAACTTGTCCAATGTTTCAATGGGAAGTGTGGCCCTGCTTTTGGCTGATGAGATTGTCAAGTTAATTAGTGTTGTTGTTGCTGCTGCTGCTGTTTGCCTCCAAGCCATTTCAGACTCAGGGCAACCCTAAGTCTAAAGTTTAAGGCAAGGGCCAGATTAATGACCTTGGAGGGTTGCATCCGGCCCGTGTGCTGTAGTTTGGGAACCCCTGTCCTACATGAATTAAAGAACTATCTGTATGCAGTTTGACACCACTTTAAATGCCATGGCTCAGTGTTATGGAATGCACCAGCACTCTGGTAGAAAAGCTGAAGACCTTGCAAAGCTACAACTCCCATGATTCCATAGCATTGATTAATTCTGCAGTGTAGATGCTCTCTAAGAAGGAAATAGGTTTGGCAGAGGATTAACATGCAAGGAGATTCAGAGTATAGAAGTATTCTTAAATAAAGCCTTAATCTGGGTTGTTGTGAGTTTTCCGGGCTGTATGGCCATGTTCCAGAAGCATTCTCTCCTGACATTTTGCCCACATCTATGGTAGGCTTCCCAGAGAAGTTGTGAGGATCCCTTCTGAGGATGCCTGCCATAGATGTGGGTGAAACATCAGGAGATGATGCTTCTGGAACATGGTCATACAGCCCGGAAAACTCACAGCAACCCAGTGATTCCGGCCATGAAAGCCGTCGACAACACATTAAAGCCTTAATCCTTTAAAAGTGACAGAATTTTTATTGGCTGCAGTCAGGGGCGGCTCAACCATTACGCAAAGTAAGCATTTGCAGTATAGTTGATTTTGCCCAGGGGCGCTCTTGAGGCACTCTTGGGGGAAAATAGACCTTTACATATGCGAGTTGTAGTTACTGGGATGTATAGTTCACCTACAATCAAAGAGCATTCTGAACTCCACCAATGATGGAATTGAACCAAATATGGCACACAGAACTCCCACGACGAACAGAAAATATATATCAGTGATTGGTTTGGGGGGGGGGGGGGGGGGCAAAATACTGTTTGCTTACTGTTGAAAATTACCTAGGGCCGCCTCTGGCTGCAGTTGCTGCTCAGGCTATTGTCCCTTTTTAGAACTTGAAACATATGCCAGGAAAACACTGAAAAGACAATATAAAAATATTTTAAATATTTTAAATAAATCAATAAAGGAATCCTGAAAAGGTGGGTGGTGTGTACAATGGACATGGTGAACGATATTCATTTATTATTTCTATTGGAAGTTTTTGTTCTTTGTTCATTATTATATCTTTTTAAAACTGCAATAAAGATACTTTTTAAATAAATTTTGAAAAGGAAGTAGCAAAAGAAGGTTTTTGGAAAACAATGAGATGGTAGATGAAGTAGAAGATGGGAGAGGATGAAGGCATACATCAGGTAGATGTTTTGACTGGAAAAGGTAGGATACAGCATTACTGAGGTTTAGTTTGAAAAATTGAATTCCAGTAGAAAGTGTCAGCAGCGTAACTACAGATACAAGATCAAGTGATGAGATGTCAACGAGTATAAAAATAGATGAGGCTAAAAGGAACGCAAGAGCATCCAGAAAAGGAATAAATGGCAACAGCAGGAAAGACTGAAAAAATAGAGTTCTTGTCAACGCAAGAAGCAGGGAATGAGCATTTTGATAGGAAGAAAATGAAAAGCAAAAATAGTGCAGCATATAAAAGACAAGAAGGAGTTCAGCTATAAAACATCTCTATTGTCTGTCAGTTTGAGAGCATCCAGCACATGAATATTCATACCAAGAATGTAAGACTATTTCTGTTATTCATAGACCATGCTCAGCTTTTATGCCATTACAGATACAAAACTTCTTCTCTATTTATAGGATAGATTGCCTAGATCAGGGGTTCTCAAACCTTTTCAGCCACGGAGCCCTTTTTGAAACAAACGTTTCTCATGGAGCCCCAAAAAATGTTTATATATTATATTATATCTAATGTATGCATGTGTGTGTGTGTGTGTGTATCAGACATGGGCAAACACTTGAAGAACAATTTTAACCAACATAAACTAAACAGTATTTCAGTGAAAGACCCCAGGGGCCATCCAGTCCAACCCACTTCTGCCATGCAGGATAAGCACAATTAAAGCACTCCAACAGATGGCCATCAGGCCTTAATAATTATAATTATTATTATTATTATTATAATCCAGACTGACAAAGTTTTGGGACACAATATGCCAGACATCACGACTGTGGAAAATAAAAAAAGTTTGGATTATTGATGTCACCATACCGGGTGACGGTCAAATTGAGGAAAAACAACAAGAAAAATTCGAACTGTAAAGGCTCTGGCATAAACCAGTACAGGTGGTCCCAGTGGTCATAGGCACACTGGGTGCCGTGCCAAAAGATCTCACCCGGCATTTGGAAACAATATCACAATCTGTCAACTGCAAAAGTCAACTGACTTGGATCTGCGTGCATCATTCAAAAATACATCACACAGTCCTAGACGCTTGGGAAGTGTTTGACTTATGATTTTGTGATACGAAATCCAGCATATATATCTCGTTTGCTGTGACATACTGTATTTTTGTGACAGTAAAATAATAATAATAATAATAATAATAATAATAATAATAATAATAGGGAAAGCTTGGAGGTGGGGAGGAGGGAGGAGGAGGAAGAAACTGCGGAGCTCCTCAGTAAGCTTCACAGAGCCACAAGGACTCCATGAAGCACACTTAGAGAACTGCTGGTCAAGATAACTATTCTATAGTATAGTTCTTTATATCTCTAACTGCTTTATTTTTACTATATTTTTTCAGATGACAAATTATATACCGTCTTTAATGTTTTTGAAGATGATTCTACTTGTTGGACTTATCACGATGGGGTTTTATCTCTAAAAGTTGCAAGGAAAGGACCCGTGATTAATACTTTGGATGCTGATTGGCTAGAATTAACCTCATTTTATTACAAGCAAGGGCTGGCGTTGATTGACTCCTTTGTATGTTGGGAAGCTTCTAAATGTAAGTGCAATATGAACTCTCTTAATCTTTAGCTTGGTTTTCTAGCTCCCCTAGAAAAGGAGGTAAATGAAAAACCTGTGTTGAACATGGAAATTGTACATAACTGAGCAGTACAACTAATCCAGAGGGTTAATCCAGAATTATGCTTACATAGACCATGTCCATTAAAATGAATGTTACATATCAGTCAGAACTACCATATCAGTCAGAACTGATTTCAATGGGTCCTTTCTAGAAATTCTGAAACTAGAGATATGCAACAAAGTATTACTATACTAGAGTTGGAATCATGCATCCCTCCAAATGTTATTTCCAATTCATATCATCCTGAGCTCATATAGCCCATGATTGGGGGGTAGGGAATTGCAGGAACATGTAGAGCAAGACTTCTTAAACTTTTGTCCACTCGCGACCCCATTCCACCAAGAAAATTTTAATGATTTCAGGTATATAAGAATATAAAACAGGTATAAAAATCAAACATTTAATGATAATAAATTAGGATTTGCAAGGCTTGCTAAACAGGCTGATTCTCCTTTTTATGAAGTACAGCTGAAGCATTTTCTGCAGAATCCACTGTAAACATTGCACATTGTTAACGGATTTTTGTAAATGTCTAAATGGCATTCAGAAACCTTTTACTGTTGCTAAATTTTTCATGACCTCAGCATTGAACTAAGGGGTCTCCATTTGGTCTCAGGACCCACAGTTTAAGAAGCAGTGGCCTAGAGGGCCTAACCTAAGCTGAGTGTTCCCCTTCAAGGCTCCCTTCTACACTGTGCTCTATCCTATGATTTGATCCCAGATTATCTGCTTTGAACTGGATAATATGAGTCTACACTGTCAGGTAATCTGGGATAAGCAGATAACCTGGGATCAGATTCTGGGATATAGGGCAGTTGCAGCAAACACCCAAGACTTAAGGCAGTTCTGCTTTTGAACATCAGTGTCACCCAATAGTCTAGGGACAATGTATGACCCACAAGCATTTCCATACTACAGTCCTGACCTTTTAGACAATGTGCATCCTTCCAAAACAGATTGAATTAAAATTCTGGAATGGGGCTTTCTTGTGACCAATACCCCCACTTTGTCTGGATCTGATCTCTAGTTATTTCCAACTCAAGCTAGTATTTAATCGTGGCAGTGTTCAAGTATTTTTAAAATGTTTTAGAAGTCTTTTAATGCTTAGAAGTCGTTTTAAGCAGTGACGTTTCTGGAAAGTTAAAAGGCTGACCCTTTTTTCCCTTCCTTTTTTAATCATTGCTGGGAGATTTTGTTTTGGTTGTTCCAGACATTCCTATAGTAGTAATAGTTGTATACTCCAGCTTTAGAGACTTTCTGACTGCTGGTATATACATGGATCACTGGGGTATGAAGCTATGAGGAATCCAAGTTAACTTTGTTATTGAGGGATATACTGCATGAACTTTTGTTTAAGTCAAATCTGTCTGCTCACAGTTTAATTTGAAGACTGGCAGAAAATTATTTTAAAATATCTAACTCTTCGGTAATTCTTGCACAACAGTCATACACAAGACAAAGACAAAAGCATACCAATTTGACATACTGTATATCCAAAGTATATGCGTTCACGACATGTTTGAGCATTTTTTTTCTTTTTGTTTCTGCAGCTGATTACTTGCCAAAAGCATTGGAGGGCGTATTTATATATGAAGAAGAAGGCTCAGGAGTCCCTGGTTCAAACAGGAAAGGAAATGATGCAATTGTTGTCGAACAATGGACTGTCATTGAGGTAATTCCACGTGTCTGTTTTTAAGAATTTAGATTAGTCTCAAAGATTTATCTCAAGGATTATACGTCCTCATATCTGGAGTTAGGTTTCTTTTGTCAGTTTAAATCAGGGGTCCTCAAACAAAGGCCCGAGGGCCAGATACGGCCCTCCAAGGTCATTTACCGGGCCCTCACTCAGGGTCAACTTAAGTCTGAAATGACTTGAAAGTACACAACAACAACAATCACAATCCTATCTCATCAGCCAAAAGGAGGCCCACACTTCCCACTGAAATACTAATAAGTTTATATTTGTTAAAATTGTTCTTCATTTTAATTATTGTATTGTTACTAAGTGCTTTTGCACTATAAATAAGATATGTGCAGTATGCATAGGAATTCATTCATGCTTTTTTCACATTATAATCCAGCCCTCCAACAGTTTGAGGGACTGTGACCTGGCCCTCTGTTTAAAAAGTTTGAGGACCCCTGGTTTAAATAAATGATTCAACTGTAACAATGCTTTAAATCAGGTGTGTGTTACATCTTCTTGGGGCTGTAGTTGGAATCAGCAGCAACTGAAAATTCAGTTATTATTTGTATACATTTCTTTTTATTTTCTAGCCTCCCACTCTTTTAACTAGGTTACTGTTTCATTATCTGGGTGGAGGCCACTAGGGAGCGCTAGAGAGAGAAGGATAGTCCATTTTATGGGGTTGGAGGGTGGGTTGAAGAAGTGAAACCAATTCCCCCCATTTTCCTGTTATTCCCCCCACTCATGTCCCTGTCGTTGAAACTGTTGGGTGAGTGGCCTTATTAACAAAAGACCTTCCTCATAAATGCACAGCAGAGTAACATCAGCAGCAGCGTGACCCAACACCAGTAATACAAAGTGATGAAAAGAACAAAAACACAGAGACCAATGTTATCTCTTCCATAGGAGGGTTTTCTTTATAGCAAAATAATGTGGTTGCACTATTTACAACAACAAGATTTCCATGACACAAATAAAGTTCAGCCTTCACGCTGAAGCTTCACACACGAGGCTTTCTTATACTGAGGTTTACCTCACACACAGGCTTCTCTCACAGACTAGGTAGGGCCTACCTCACACTGTGAGGCCTTCTCACAGAGATCTTTCTCCCACTGAGGCAAACTAACACAGAGGCCTATTAACCGGCTTATATAGAACTGCAGCTTTTGCTGAGTCATTGCATCCATTTAAYCCTTTCAGTGCTTGACTCATGTTTTTGTAATTAAATTTCTGACAGGAACAACCCTTGTTTATGACATTGGAAGTGGGGAGGGGGAATAACCAGTAAAAACAGAAGAAATGCTTTTCTGGCTTCCACCCCCCCCCCCCCTAAAATGGACTATCCTTCTCTCTCTATGCACCCGGGTAATAAAACAATACCTTTATAAGTATTGACAGAAATGGTCAGATTCACACTAGGRAAAATCAGACAGTGGGTGTCCTGTACCATTTTTGTAACGTTATCTTTCTTACTTCCCTTAGTACATTATATTTTTCTTTTGCTAGATTACTTATTTTCCTTTGGATGTCTTCCCCCTCAATTTCCATCTCCATTCTCCACGTTTGAAGAGGGCTCCTGCACAACTTTCATGCTTTTTACAGGTGTTGGCATGGTTGTAAACAAAAAGATGTGTTTAATCATATTATATGGGAATGTGATAGAGTACAGGCATACTGGAAAATGATTGAAAGAGAAATTAAAAGAATGTTAAATCTTCAAATAATAATAGCCAATGCAAGGATACCAGGAGTGTTTAATGCGCAAAAGGAAAGGGTAGTCAATACATTAATAGTGTGAGCTCAAGTTATTTTTATGAGGGGTTGGAAAGATAAAACAATGTGAACTCTGACAAATTGATATAATTATATGGTTAATATGTTAAATGTGGAAATAACAAATTGTAAATTGAATAATACAGATAAAACAGAAAATGTTATAATAATTGAAAGCATGAGGGAACCCAATTAGGAATTATTTAGAGAATGTATTAAGATGCAGAGTGGAAAAATTGAGATTAAGATTGATATTTCAAATGTAATTTCTGTAGTTTATTGTACAAAATGTATGCCTAGGGAGAAAGGGCAGAGAGTAGGAGTGGAATAGGGTGAAAAATTAAACATTTTAAAGAGAAAAAAATAGGCAATGTTTTTTTCTGTAAGATTTTGACCATTAAGCGCTAATTCAAATGTTTTTAATTCAAAAATCCTTGTATACTTCTGGATAGAAAACCAGATTTTGTTTCTGTTTATATCTCACCCTTCATTCACATTTGAACATTTTGTGTATAAAAAGTTGCACAGACCAACTTCAAAACCACATATGTGTAGGTTTGGATTAATTTTATGTTTGAATGATGAAAAATTCCCTGACATAGTTTTTGGCTAAAGAAACTGCCCACTATACTGCTGAGAACATCAATATGTGGTAACAACTTTGCTGGAAAAATTGTACACTTTCTTAAAATGCTAGAACTGGCTTCTGGCAAATGAATGAGAGCAAAAGCTGATTTTCCCTAAGATGGTGGTCTCACAAAAATATGTTGACTGCTGGCATAAACATTGTTGCTTGAAAGGGGCTCGTTTCCTAGCCACTGTTTCTGCTCCTTTGCATTGCACATTGTTTTGGATGACTCACGGTATCCTGTGACATGTGGAGCTTTTATTAACTCACGTTTGCTATTTCACAAACTGAACACAATGAATAAAATAAAAATGGCTTCATTCCAATAAATCTGTATAGACAGACACATGAGGTGGGACGCAGCCATTTGGCATAAGTTCTTGTCATTTTCCTTAGCAACCACTGACCAACAAAGAAGCAAGTTGCTACAGTAGGAAGTAAGTTTCTGACTGACCAAAGTAGTCTGGACTGTTTGCAGAGTACCATCACACACAAATACTTGTACAGGCAGTCCCCAAGTTACAAACATCTGACTTACATAGTTAATAATGGGTGTTTTTTTCGTGTCAAGAGTGACTTGAGAAACTGCAAGTCGCTTCCAGTGTAAGAAAATTGGCCATCTGCAAGGACGTTGCCCAGGGGGACACCCAGATGTTTTGATGTTTTACCATCTTTGTGAGAGGCTTCTCTCATGCCCCCGCATAAGGAGCTGGAACTGACAGAGGGAGCTCAACCCAGTCTTGGATTCGAACCACTGACCTGTCGGTCAGCAGTCCTACTGGTGAAGGGAATACCTGCTCAGACCCCTGGCCTTTGACCTGTGGGGTCCCGCAAGGTTCCATTCAATCCCCCATGCTTTTTAACATTTACATGAAACCCCTGGGTGAGGTCATCCGGAGTTTTGGAGTTCAGTGCCATATGTACGTAGATGATGCCCAACTCTACCACTCCTTTCCACCAAAATCCAAGGAAGCCTCCTGCACCTTAAACCAGTGTCTGGCAGTTGTGATGGACTAGATGAGGGCTAACAAGTTGAAACTCAATCCAGACAACACAGAGGTCCTTCTGGTCAGTCGTGGGACCGATTGGGGTATTGGGTGGCAACCTGTGCTTGATGGGGTTTCATTCCACCTTAGGATACAGGACTGTAGCTTGGGGGTCCTCCTGGACTCAGTGCTGTTACTTGACGCTCAGGTGATGGCTGTGGCCACGAGGGCCTTTGCACAGTTAAAACTGATGCACCAGCTGCAACCATACCTCGTGAAGTCTGACTTGGCCATGGTGGTCCACACCTTGGTTACATCCAGATTGGACTATTGCAGTGCACTCTATGTGGGGCTGTCTTTGAAGATGGTCCAGAAGTTCCAACTAGTACAACAGGCAGCAGCTAGGCTCCTAACCGGAGCTAATTATAGGGAGCACACAACACACTTTTTAAAACAGCTTCACTGGCTGCCAATAAGTTTTCAGGCTCAATTCAAAGTGCAGGTTATGACCTATAAAGCCCTATATGGCTCGGGCCCCAACTATGTCTGTGATCGCATCTCCGCCTATGAATCGTCATGGACTCTAAGATCTACCGGGGAGGCCCTCCTCTCACTTCCACCACTCTCTCAAGCACGGTTGGTAGGGATGAGGGAGAGGGCCTTCTCGGTGGTGGCCCCCTGCTGAAAAGGTATGTGATTAATGATACTGAATGTGAGCCAGAAAGAAACAAAATAAAACCAGTGAAAAACACAATTGTCAAATTTATCGATACATGCCAATTAAAACCATAAGTTTACTACAAGAGAGAAGGGAAACATCCAAACCCTCACACAACTCTGTAGGCTTTAAATTAGGTAACAAAAATATATAGCATAGAGTTGTTATTCTTATTTACTTTTCCTTGTTAGGCACTTGAAGACATGAGCACTATTTGCATTTTGCTCACCTTTTGCCTTAAGTAATGGAAGATATTGTCAACTGCTATATGGACTGTGGGAATGTTTCCTGATATTTCAAAATATTTTAATTTCTATGTTTCTTAATATAGGGCAGTGAAATCAAAACAGACTATGGTCCTTTATTGCACACACTGGCTGAATTTGGTTGGCTGTTAACTTGTGTACTCCCTACTCCGATCATCCGACTGGACAGGTAAATGAAAATACTCCATTTCTCTCTGTAGTAACAGTACAATTTCTGGGAATGCATTTCTGCCTCACAGGCAATCAGATCTGAAACAATTGTATTATCCAAAAGAAAGGGCTTTTTCTTTCTTTAGAAAAGGCCTGCCATAAAAGCATCTTGGAACAAAAAGTCCTGGATGAATCTGTCTTGCTCTCCAAGCTTAAAATAAATAAAGTAGGAATTTGTTCTCTTCCAAATCAGATCAGGTGGAGAGGAGTCCTTCCTCAAATTTACTCAGATTTAGGCATAAAAGTCAGTATCCATTTGGACCAACGGCTGGCACAGATTCCAAGTTTTCATTAATAATAAAAAAATAAATCTTTATACTTTCTGGAAACAGTGCTATCCTTTTTGAGAAAGGAAATCTAGTGACTCACTGGCGGCCTACTGCGTGTCAGCATGATTCCAGCCATGACTCCCTCACCTTCCTTGAGTTGCCGCGATATGGCTGCATTCCCAGGTGTCCTTCTGAGATCCAAGGCACAGAGGCAGGAAAGCCTCATATTGGCTAGCTGACCTGGCAGGAATATCCAGATGTTTTGTTGTGTGTTTCCAGTCAGGTTGGGTGATGATGTTTAAATGAAGGTGTTCCCCAGAGTCTGTGTCAGTGCAGTGTCTTACTCACATGGTTGTGTGGTCATGATAGCTGGTAGGCATGGTTGATGGTTTATCATCACAACTAGAGAGTGGTTAAGAGGGACTCAAGATGTGTGTGCGTGCGGGGGCGGGGGGGGGGGAATATGGGGCCAACACAGACCTTGGGCAGTGAGGCTGAAGTTTCCCCAGTGCCTCCTGGTGGCAGGGGACCATATAGGATGTGTGGCTTCCCCTGTGATCCAACCAGATCAGAAAACAGTGGGTTTGTTGTCGATGCCTGGATCCAGACCATACAGGCTTCAACCCCATTGCTGCTACCAATTTAGCTGTGGCTAGTAAATTCCCAATTTGTTCATATCTGCTAAAATATGTGTCTCACCTCTGTAGTGACCTTGTGCCTGACACCGCACATGAACCTGCTATTGCATTTTGGTAGTATTAGTGTGATTTAGATAGATGCTTCTGTAAATTATAGATTCTGGGAAAGTGGTTTCAGAATCTGAAGTTCTGTTGGAAGGACAAGGGCTTCTTGTGATATTCTCATAGATGTAAAACAACTGATGGCAGAAAATATAAAATAAAACAGCCAGAAATATCTGTGAATTACCACCATTGTCTTGAGTTAGTTCCTCTCATTTGTCCCCACAAAAACACCGTAAGGTAGATTTTGCTGAGAGGTGGTGATTTGCCCGTGATTTGCCTCACAAAGATTTGCAACTAAGCAAGGATGTGACCTTGGATCTCTCCATTCCAGGTCTAATGTTCAAACTATGATATTATATTTACTCTTTCAGATGAATGGTGTCAAGGCTGAAACTTACTGATAGAAGACAATGCAACAATTGACATGCTTACTTTGCGTAATATGATTTTTTTCAGTATGCTCTTAATTGGCATGTTACACAATTTTGCATAATTTGCCAGTTGTTCTTTTGTGCCTTCAAGTTGTTTCCAAGTTATAATGACCCTCAAGTGAACCTATCACAGGATTTTATTGGCCAAATTTCTTCCTTTGAGGCTAGGAAACTATGACCTGTACAAGGACACTGTACAAGGGTTTCTGTGACTGAACAAAGAGTTCATACCCTGGTCTCCTGGAATCCTAATCCAACATTCAAACCACTACACTGTCTCTATATATGGCCACCTAATTTTCTGGAACTGGTCTGTGGCAACCCTAAACTAGGACTGTGTGTGTGTGTTTTGCTGATGTATGAGCTTAGGTTTCTCTTACGGAAAATCCAGATCTTAAGCTTTAATTTGACAAGATGTTTTGATTTTTTGTGTGAGAGTTTGGCTTATACAAAGAAAAAAAACCCTACTGTCTGTTTTAATATTTAGCTTGGTTTTGATTGATGTATTGATTCTGAGTCTTAGTGGACATGAGAACAGCACTTGCATGTAGGATAGTTACTTGACATGTGCCCCTACTGTCTCTAGCACAGAATATGTGCATCAAAATATTAGTTCAGATTGGCATGATGTATTTGACTTTTTAAATTTTTATATACCAACAATTAATAATAATAATAATAATACATTATTTCTATCCTGCCACCAGAGGGACTTGGGGTGGCTTACAGACAGCACACAATAGTACCATAAAATACATAAAATGCACGCAAAAGTACAATATCAAATGAACAACACAGGACTTTCAGAATCAGCTTCTAACAAAGCTAATAAGCCATGTTCAAGGGGAAAAAATGGAAACTTTCTGTGTCTATAATGAAAAATAAAGGTTCTTCCAATTATATCACCATATTAAAAAGCCAAACAAAACATCTGAATTTCCCCCACTAGAGCTCTATAGATTGAGAAATGCAATTTTCATTGAATATTATCGTCACCTGAACAACAACAATAATACGTTGAATAAGTATTTGATTATTGTAGCAAATTTTATTGTTTCAATCTTGTACCTATTAAATATCCATTAATGTTTAAGCATAACCATGGTAAGACACAGAGTTAAAAGCAATTCAGCTCATGACAGTTTTGATTCTAACTATCTAATTTTGTGGCTTTTATTTATTTATTTACCACATTTATATGCTACCCTTCTACCTTGAAGGAGACTCAGAGCAGTTTACAAGCTATATGTACATACAATATATTATAATAATAGCATAGCACAATATTAGTAGTATGTATTACTATATTGTACTATACCACTATATAATATTATTGGTAATATTATAATATTAAATCTAAAATTATTATATTGTATTATTAGTATTATATTATATTACATTATAAACTTATTAATATTATATGTGTATACAATATATTATTAGCACAGCACAATATTAGTATTATATATTTCTAGATTGTACCATACCATGAAACTATAATATTATTAGTAATATTACATGTAATATAAATATGTACTTATATTGTATTATTATTAGTATTATACTGTATTACATTATAATATTATTATCAATATTATATATGTATACAATATATTATAATATTAGCACAGCACACTATTAGTATTATATATTATTGTTTATCTATTACTATTGTTTATATATTACAATATTATATATAGAGAGAGAGAAAGAGACTGTTATATTTTAAAAAAATCTTCAAGCATAAAAGGCATCAAATTACCTTGTTACACTGTTCTAAATTTATATTCATGTTTCCAATAATAGACATATGATTGCATAGTATTGGAATTTAAAATTGACAAGTGATAGGGAATGTGTGCTAATTTATACGATACAATTTTATGATGCTTTTTGGGCAAATATTTATTTAAATTCTGTCCTTTTTCAAAACATAACTAGAAAGGTGCATATTTTAGTTCATCATGGTCACAATTTAGGTTATGATGTGTGTGAGATGTGGTTGCCCACCTGAAATCACAGGGGCCACATTATCCCGAATTGCTTTCCCTGGGATATTTGCAAATTTGAATCAGGGCCCTTTCACACAGCCATATAACCCAGAATATCAAGGCAGATAATCCACAATATTTGCTTTGAACTGGGTTATCTGAGTCCACACTGACATATAATCCAGTTCAATGTGGATTTTATGCAGCTGTGTGGAAGGGGCCTCATAGGTGCTTCAAGAGAAGCAAGATCTGGACGTCACCTTGACTCCTTGTCAATAAGACATAGGACACTATAAGGCAGAAAAAGAAAAAGGACTTTTTGAGAATTTTATAGGCGGCCAATTGTTGCAGGAAGTAGTGTTTGAGTCATTATGTGCTATTGTTTATTATATACTAATGATGAACAAGCACTGCATCATAATTCAATGAATCTGATCACACTCTCACCTACTATGGCATTGCATTATTTAAATAATAGGCATTCCTATATTTCTATCTATTTATCTTTCTGACTCATGATCACTTATAGAGTTGACTGGCAGTCTCTTATTTTAAGGGATGTCTCTTATTTAAAATCTGAACACAAGTATGAAGAAAGGCTGTTTGGAAGAATGATCATGGGAATTCACATCACCAAAGCACCAGCATAGTGCATCTGGAGAGATATTTGAAAGTGATTATTCCAATAACATTATGTCTCCATTTGCTTAAACAACACAATTGCTAGGAGACTATAGTCTGGTGAGATAAAGTCAGACGTGAGAGACAATCTGACAGACTGTTGGAAAGTGATGACAGTCTTTTTGTTCCAACTCTATGTTAACTAATTTCCATTTAATTAACAAACAGATAGTGTTGTAGATTATTTTTTTTTATCTACCCCCACTTTTATCTTAACAGCAATCCTATTAGTGGCTCATGCTGACCACATGAGCTTTATGGGAAAGCTTAATTTTTCATCTTATAATTCCATCATGTAACTCGACAGAAACCTATAATCATAGAGTTGGAAGGAATTTCAAAATTTATCTGTTTTATTTTATTATTTTTATTTACAACATTTCTACCCTGCCCTTCTCAACCCCCGAGGGGGGACTCAGAGTGGCTAACATTGACAACAATTTGATGCCGCAGATCACAGTATAACAACAGTATAAAACCATAAATACACAATAGATTAAAAACAATAATGTTAGTTATACAATCATATAGCCGTTTCCATTATTATAACAATCATATGGTGAAGTTCAATGTCCAAAGTGCCGTTATGCCTGTTAGCCAAAGGCCTGGTTCCAAAACCACAATTTCAGTTTTTTCCTAAAGGAAAGGAGGGAGGACACAGTTCTGGCCCAACTTTCCTGTCCAAATGTATCTCCCCTTACGAACCACTGAGGACTTTAAGATCATCTGGGGAGGCCCTGCTCTCAGTCCCGCCTTCGTCACAAGCACGTTTGGCGGGGACGARAGACAGGGCCTTCTCAGTGGTGGCCCCTTAGCTATGGAATGCCCTCCCTATGGAAATCAG